TAATTGAACAAATCATCTTACATTTATAATCTACAGTTGAAAAGGAAAGCAATTTGAATGTAGATATAGAGGGGTGATTGCCAGTAATCACAGCACTCAGGAGCCTGAGGCAGGATTGTGAAAGTTCAAGGCCAACCTGGGCTACAAAGTAAAGGCAATCAATTTGGGCTACATATCAAGATCCTGTTTAAAAAAAGAAAAGCAAAGCAAGCAAGCAACTTATAATTTATAGCTCTCCTCCTCACCCATATTCCACAATGCAAAGAAAGAAACATTTTGCTTTCTGATAATTAAAGTACTTTATTACCAATCCCTACATTACAAATCAAAAAACTTGACTGGCAATCAAAATAAAATTAATAAAATAAAATAAAATTAATAAGCATAGAAAAAATGTTATACTACTGGGAAGTGAACCCAAGGTCTATGTACTGAACTGTATACCACCCATTTTTGCCTAAGTTACTAAATTGCAGGGGCTGGCTCAAACTTGGGAACCTCCAGCCTCAGCCACCCAGCTTACAAGTGGCTTACATTAGGCCTGGTCATAGAAATTATCTCTAAGAAAAAAAAAACAAAAAAACACAGAATTAGAGAATGTGCTATGATGTTATAAACACCAAGAACACTCACAACTCTGTACCTGTGTATAGTGAGAAGCTACTGTTATACATTACAATACGCAAGAGGTATTCATGTAGATATAACAGACTCTGGAGCCACACTTCAGAGGTTCAAATCTCAGCTCTGATAGCTACTAAATTTCTTATGGCTCACCCATAAAATAACAGCATCTACACTTCATTGTTGGTACACATCAATGTTAGTTACACGAGGACTGAGTTAAAATACATGCCATAGTACTCTATTACATTCCAATTTCAGCTATCTCACCATTAACCACAAAACAAAATTAAATGAAAAATTCCAAAAATAAACAATTTATAAATTTTAAATTATGTTATTATAAATATTCCACTTTATTAATTATTGTTATTAATCTTACTATGCCTAACTTATAACTCAAATTTTGTTTTGTTTTTATGGTATCAGAAATCAAAGTCACTACTTCACATTTACCAGGCAGATGCTGTGCCACTGAGCTATATCCCCGGCCTAATTCAAATGTTATTATAGGAGTTTATGTTTAGAAAAAAGCAAGTACAGTATATACAAATACTCCTTCCATTACAAGATAACTTCCTCCAGATAAACCAGGGTAAATTTAAATGTCCTAAATTAAAAATGCATTTAATATACCTACTGCCCATGATAGGTGGTCATCACATTGTACTTTGGAGTACTATTTTCCCATGTGATCACTTGACTAAATAAGAGCCTGAGCTCACAGCCACTCCCCACCTTCACAAGAGTCCACAGGCCAGAAAAATATCAAAATTCAAAACCCTAAGCAATCTGTAGTGAATGTATGATGCTTTCATGACATCACAAAAGCAAGAAACCCAGCCAGACAGTGGCACATATCTGCTGCAATCTCAGCACTCTGGGGGGGCCAAGACAGTAAGATCACAAGTTTGAATTCACCCAGGTAACACACCTAGTCTCAATTTCAAAAAAAATTAAAAGGGGCTCAGTGAAAAGGCCCTAAATTCAATCCCCAGTAATTCCCAAAAAAAAAAAAAAAAAGTAGAAAAACTCTTAAATCAAACTATAGTAACTCAAGGACCATCTGCACAGGGTTTGGTAGTATCTTCCCAGGTATCTTCTAAAGATTTTCAATATATCCCTGATGGATCCAAGGGACTACTGCATAGCACTGAAGTGATACCTGACACAGAGCAAGCATTTATTAAGTAAATAAACTCACTATAAATTATCACACCCTAAAGCTAGCTCAAAAATGTCCCATGCAACATAGATAAGACTTTAGATCATGGTATCCCATGGATTCTATTTTTTAATATAAAAATAATACTAACCTTCGAGTGATTTCACACTAAACTTAAAAATGTTTCTACAATAATCTCCCCAAAAAGAACACAAATGACTTCTCTACTGAAAATCTACAATTTCTTCCAAAGGTTAATAGCACAAAATAAATAGAACTGATTCAGTAAAAAGTAAAGAGGAACTTGCTCTGGTACTTCCACAGATGGAAGTCCCTGAACTTTATTTCTTAGTATACAGCTGCCTTGACCAACAGACATTAGCAGTAACATTCCAGAGAAGATTAAAGCCTCCTCAGTTTCAAGCAGCATGTGTGGCCCACAGTAGGCACTCAAAACTATTTGCTGAGCTAATCCCTAAAAGTGAAATTGCTTCTAGTTACATCTTCCTTTATCACTGTCACTTATGTTCTAGATACACATACACAAATTTTTCTTTCCTGAAATTATCTAGGTCCATAACAGCAAGCCAATCAATTCTAGATACCCATACACAAATTCCTTTTTTTCTTTTCTGAAATTATCTAGGTTCATAACAGCAAGCCAATCAATTCTAGATCCCATACACAAATTCTTTTTTTTTCTATCTTGAAATTATCTAGGTCCATAACAGCAAGCCAATCAATTCTAGATACACACACACACAAATTTCTTTTCTTTCCTAAAATTATCTAGGTCCATAATAGCAAGCCAATCAATTCTGGATGAGAGTTTCAAGAAAGGAAGGCAATTAGTTAAAATACAATAAAATAGCAAACATAATCTGTTCAGAGGAGAAATAATTCCTCACTTTGGAGTTCACAGTATTATGATTGTGAATATGGAATTTTTTCAACTTTGAGGAAAGTCACTCAGGAAATTCAGTAATGAAAATAACGAATCCATCAAAAAGCACACAACTCACCTCATCAATTTCACAAATATTACCATGAAAGCAATTTTCCAATGCGATTGGTATACAAAGCAGTCTACTCAAAGAAACTCAATTTTCCCAAATGTACATTCCAAATTTAGTCACTTTGGTAAACAACACTACAAAACAAAGCTCTGCAGCCAAACAAGTATTTGTAAAACCAGAACCAGCCAGCAGGCAGCTCCCAAATTAAACTTGCATTAATGCAAAGGTGCTGTGCAATGGCCTCAGCAAGGTCCTCTGCTCTGCTGCACAGAGAAGTTAACAGCTATTGAGGCTCCTACCAAAGGACAAGTCCAAGGTTCTAAGATTTGGACTTAACCTGTATTGTATTGTACCCAATTTCACTACCTCTTAAAAATATGTACAATTGGCATTTTATGTGTAATTAGTATGTGTTAAAATATCTGGACCTGGAGATGTAGCTCAGTAGTACAGATGGTAATTCACATGAGACTCTAAGTTCAACCCCAGTACCAAAAATATATATAAATTTCTAATTCTGCTGGACATAGTGGCACATGTCTGTAATCCCTACCTCCTAGGATACTGAGGCAGAAGGATCATAAATTCCAACCTAGTCCATACAACTTATCAAGCCCTTGTCTCAAAAGTGGACTAGGGATGAAGATGTCAAAATCATTACAAAAGCAAATACTCAACTGTTCTAACAAGAATTTATAATACCCAATTCATGCCAAAGGTACTGACTATAATCTAACTGAATTAGTTAGCTATAAAAAATAAAGTTCCTGTTTCCACACAGTTAACCTGTTAAATTATTTGATAACAGTTGTAGAAATGGAGTCATTTTATTAAATTTCAGCCATAAAATCAAGAAACAATTATAAGGCTGAAGCAGGAGGACTGTTATAAGTGCATAGTCCACCTGGGCTACACAGTGAGTTCAAAGTGAAGCCTTTTTTTTTTGAAACAGTAAGACCCTGTCTCAAAAAAAAAAAAAAATTCTTAGAGACAACTGTTCTTACAGTACTGAACTACAAAACAACACTGTAGTTAACTGTCTGTCTTGAACTTTTAATACACTCTTTAAAAATGCATAAATGCTATAGAACCATTTCTGAATGGGATTCTATATCAATTTTTAAGAATCAGTTTAAAGGTAACACGGCTGAGTATCCTTTATCCAAACTGCTTGGGATAGATTTCATAGTTTTTGGGTTTTTTGTTGTTTTGTTTTTTGTTTTTTTTTTTTTTTTTACTTTGGAGAATAGGCATAGACTTTATCAGTTGAGCATCTCTAATCTAAAAGTCCAAAACCCAAAATTCTCCAAAATCAGGAACTTGGAAGCACTATGGATCATTAAGCTTCCAGAGCATTTGCTTGTACTCAAAGATTCAGATTTGAGAACATTCTGGATTTTCAGACTAGAGATGCTGAACAACATGCTTTTATTCCAAAGCTCACTGGAAAAACTGAACACGAAAATAGATCTCTAGAAAGTTCACCCAAGAAAAATAGTGGTAATTTCAACTGTGATTTAAACAAAAATCTAAGTAAATATTCTGTTGGATGTCAACAGCTACAATAAAGTTAGGTCAAATATAAAAAGTTTTAAATATGCTCAATATTAACTTTACAATAGCCTAGAAAAAGCTCTCACAATCTTAGACAAAAGAGAATCTCATTCCTGTCCAATAGCGTGCCAGAAAATGATGTGAGACTATCCTTAGTCATCTGTTGCTCTCAAATTCAAGTCTCCACCAAAGGGTTGCTCATCAATTTCCAGCAGTAAGGTACCCTAGACACCTTAAAACTTTAAAGTTGTATGTCACTGTAAATTCTAATCTAATTATTATGTTTTTTAATTTTAACTTCAAGTATTGCAAAGTACTGAACTATTAAGTTTTTATACCTAGAACTCATCAATAAGAAACCAGAAGCTGGGAGTGGTGGTGCAGGCCTGCAATCCCAACACTCAGGAGGCAGAGGCAGGACTTGAGTTTGAGACCAGCCTTGCCTACATATGAGATCAAGGCCAGCCTGAACTATACAGCAAAACTACTGTCTAGAAAAGGAGAAAAAAGAAAAAGAAACCAGAAAAGTTCACATAAGTTCAAAATATAAACCTTGAATTTAACTTGTATATAACTTCAAAGAAATCTGACTCATCATCAGCACTATAAACACCAGTGAACAGTGAATATAACTTTCTTACCTTGTCCTTTTCATGTGGAAGCAGTGACACTGGAGGTAAACACGAAAGAGATTCACAACTCTCCTTCCCATCAGCATTAGCTGCTTTAGTGTTGAGCCGGTAGAGAGGCCCATCTTTAAGGAGTCTGCCATGACCTACAGCACGTTTGATAGCCAATCGGAACTGCTGGTGAAAGCTGGAGGCAGTACTGCCTCCAAATAATGCCAACACATCCTTCTGACCTTTCAAAAAGCGTTCAATACTTTTCAAAGTTGAGCCACCAGACTCTGCCAAGCCCTCAAATGCCCTTTTGATCAGCTTATTCCAATCTACATTTTGTTTATTATCCAATTTTCCATGGTTTCGAGGTTTAGGAAGTGCTATTCGCCCAGGATTATCAGGATCTTTATAGGAATTGAGGCCTTTGTTAGAGACTTTTAAAATTGTTCCATCTTTAACACTCAACTCCAATTGTTCCAAAACAGTCTTACGATCCAAGCCATGGGATGAAGACACTGCGTTGCATATCCTCTCTTCTGAAGGACGCTGTTTCTGCTTCTTCACTTTTTTGATGGCCTCCAAAATCCACTCAGTGTACAGCGGGTTAGCGAGTTTTACCATGGTGAAGGATTCTGTATATCCATAGAGTCGTTATCCCTTATCCTGATGCTGAGTAAGTTTTACACCATGGAAAACAAGATTCTCCGAGGATGGGAACCAGTTAACCATAGCATACAAGTTTTCTGGCTTGAGTCCTTCCTCCTTTTACAAAATAGAATGACTTCCCACTCTTACTTCAGAAACTTCCCAATAAAGTTTTTAATAGCACCACATATAGGTCTCTTCTCGAAGTTGTAGTAAGTCCACAGACCTCATTCCCAACTTCAGAACAGAAAATGCACATCTTATGCCTGAAAAAGTAATTAAAATAATGTCAGTTTTTCTAGCAAAGTCCTTTTTTTTTTGCGGAACCAGGGATTGAACTCAGGCCCTCGCACTTGCCAGATAAAAGCTTATTCTACTGAGCTATCCCCCCACAAAGTCCATTTTAGAAACACTGTAATTAAAACATCCCAGTCTTTTTGAACCAGTCAAAAAGCAAAGTGTTTACTGAGCACTTCTAAGAATTTTAATACGCTTCTACCAATGTTTCCAAATGAGTATGTACATATGTAAACAATTAAAGAAGAAGGGATGAATAACTAAGATATGAGGAAATACAATGAGATGTTCTACGAGTGACCCTAAGCTACAACTAACTAGAGCGGTGGTGGCTAGCCTGTACTTCACAATCTCTGCTCACCAGTCTATGAAATGAATGGCTTCTTTGACATCTTTCCCCAAGAAACTATTCAGCACTTCAACAAGTATCTGGATTAGTAGAAAGAATCCTGCAATGAAAGTAAGAGTGAATCGGTCGTCTTTCAAAATTCCAAGATATTCTGATAGATAAAAAATTTTCAACAATTAAAAGAAATACAAATTCAAGTTTTACAGATCAAGTTCATAATTTAAGAACAGTATTACTGTACCTTAAACTTTCCAAGTGCAAATGAATGTAACTCTGGAAATAATCTAGTGTAAAGGTATTTTAAAAAGCCGAAAATAATCCGACTTCGTCTAAATTTAAAGAAATTCAGGTTGTTAACTTCTCCTAACCCAAACTAAGACACTGATATCCACATATTGTCACCTAAATTTAAAGAAATTCAGGCTGTTAATTTCTCCTAACCCAAACTAAGATACTGATATCCACATATTGGAGTAACAATTCTCTGTTTATACACAATCTAGAAATAAGAAAGATAAGAATTCCTAAGGTCAAACGCACATTCACATAAAATTTATACAACAGGAAAAAAAATGTATTGGTTATTTGTGGGTCTAGAGAGAAATCAATCTGAAAAAGATATAAATTGAAGACTATAAAAAAATGAGCATTAACGAATAAAACAAACAAATACACTGCCTTTCTAGATCCAGATCAATCAACATTCTTTTATACAAAAGAATCTCACAGATACACATTTTTTAAATCACTACAATATTGAACTCTGGCCTAAAAGAATTCATTTGCCTTCAAAACTAAGTTTAAATTTACTCAAGCGATTTTTTTTAAAGAACGTTTGCTCTTATTCAGAGGCATATTTACATAACAATGTAAACAATGCTAGAAAAATTGCTCTGGTAGCAACTATTCCTAAAAGTGACATTAAAATCAAAAGGCAAGCTAATTGACTTTTAGAAACAGTACCAACCATAAAGAGAAAGCAGAGATTAAAACAAACCACTACAAGTTGAGCCAGTATTTACCTCAAAATTAGCTGACTAAAAAAAGCCCCCTGAGAGTTATGTTTGATCCCGATAAGGGTCTCAAGAGGCTGGAAAACAGTATTATTACTCCAACAAAGTTCATTAACGATAAACTGAAAGAGAAGTTACAACCTGAGTTTAAGAAGTTGGGAACCTCCTGATTAAGCTCACAGATGAAAGAACAGAAAATTAAAAAGAATGACAGTCACTCGTTATCTTTCCGGTCCAAGACTTTCAGCAGTCCCCAGGTCTGCCTAAAGTGACGCTCCATGGACTTGAACCTAACTCTGAGAAAGTGCACTAGCTGCCAGAGAGCGCGCAATTGGCTTCCGACAGTCCTTCCCGGGCCCTATTCCCCACCCCTAAACACATCTTCGCGCTCTCTTTTTAAAGAGCTAGAAACTTTAAAAACTTGTAGGGGCACCAACGTGCAGCTTGCCAATCGGCTGCTTCGCCGCTTCCATCAGCTGGAAACAGAAGCCGAGGAGTAAGTTAACAATGCAATCACGTGGAGTTGAGAGCTCCGTAGCCCCAGCACCCGGCTTCAGGACCCGATCTCCGCCCTGGACGGCTCGAGGGGGGCGTGCGGGCTGATGGACCGCGGGGCCTGACAGGTCCGGCAGCAGCGGTCCGGCGCCGTCTCCTCCCGGCCGGGGTGACAGCCCAACAGTCTGCCACACGTGCTGCCTCCTCCGCACCACAACACCGCCCGTCACCCCCACTCCGCGGCAGCCTAGCCGAGGCCCGATAGTGCACCGGGAGCGGGGAGTGGGCCGGGCGGCGGGCGCGCCCCGAGGGATAGCGGGCAGGCAGGCAGCGTAGTACCAGCCCGAGGCCCCAAGCGCCACAGCTCCAGGCCTGGCCCGCCCGCCGCCCGCCGCCCGCCCAGGACGCCCCAGCGGGGCGG